TATATATAAATATATATAAATATATAAAATATATGAAAAATTGTATAATATATAAATATATGAAAATTGATGTGGGTACTCAAATGAAAGGTCTCGATGAGTTTAATGTCGGGGTGAGCTTATATCTTCAAAAATGTCAATAGTTCACAAGATACAAGGTCGTTTCTTAATTATGCATCTAGAGATGGAGAATTTTCGAATGTAGCCTGAATACTTATCATAATAAATTGATTATCAGTGAATATGATATAAAAAATTGAAAAGGCACAAATTCAAGTCGAGACCTTTACAATGACACCAAATTTCATGAAAAAAAAACCGATTTCATCGTATGACTATCCTGGACACAAAATTTTTCTTATTCTCTTAATAATATAGATAATTATTATTAATAAAATTAGTTAAATAACAAGCAGCGCGCAATGATTCCATACTTTTAATTAAATAATTTTTTATAAACTTCAGTATATTTTTTTCACAGTGAGAAAAAGTTTTTATTTGATATACTATTTCACTAAAAGTTATCAATTTTTTAATTAAACAAAAAAAAAAAGTTCATCAATTTATTGAGAGCGGAGTTCAATCTCGAAGCTTCGTTGTAAACTCAGGTGTGCAATTGAAATTTAAAATTAAAAACCGGGCGAGTTTATACGAACTACGAGTGACTCTGAAACATCGATACCGGATTTCTGATAAGTTTGATCCCTCAGTCCTGAGGGAGTGCGTGATGGAACTAAATTACAATAGCATATGGGATAATAAATATTAATATTTATTTAAACTGAAAAAGTGACAAGTGGGTGGCCAGATACAGTGGGCGAAGCAGGAGCTGATCCAGGAAATATGAGAGGCTCGAGAGAATACGTAGGTCGATCGATGTAGCAACCAACAACCTGCGGCCTACAGGACAAACTCTACTACAATCCTCTACATTTTTTTTTTCTTCTACCCTTTTATTATCATCTATTATTACTTCTATTTTTATAAATAAACATACCTACCTCCTTTGTCCTATTTTATCAATAATGTTTTCATAATAATAACAGTTAAATACCTAGAGTAAACTAAACTTGTCTATTGATAAGCATTCCTCAAAAAACCACTAAACAAACTATTATTTACTTTTTTAATAAATATTAAATTACTATTTTTTTTAATACACTTATCCTCATAAAATTATTTTACCTTTTTATCTTTTAATTCAATCACAAAAAACAATAATTCATTTACGTAGTTAAAAAAAATCTCTAAAATTTTTTGTATTTTTAAAAATATAAATATTTGTATTGAAAAAAAAAAATTGAGCTTTTTAAATAATTTTCGTTAATAAAAAAAAAAAAAATTAACAGAAGTACTAATAAAATAAATTAACAGCAGTAACAATTTGTAAAATTATAATTGTAAGTAATAAGTATTAAGTATAAATAAAAGCGTGATAATGATAAGAATTGATAAAAAAGAATTTAAATACGTACAAATAGTTATTGGTATAAATAACGCGGGAAGAGATAAAAGCACTTGATATTTAACGTAGTACTCGGTATGACTGCCCGTCAGTAACTGATAGTTCTGCTGTCGCGAAAACGAGCGGAGCGAGAGCTTTTTTTCACTGGTTATGTGCTGGTACACAAGCACAAGAGTATTTGATATTACGGTGGTGGTAGTTTCTGGTGGTGCTTAACATTTGCAAGAGCTTTAACTATAACTGACTACTCGGTAACGGTGGTCTTGGGCTTGAGTCTTACCCTCAATCGCCTGCGCGAACGCGCGAATACACACCAATTTACCCCCATATGATACTCACAACACGTGTGAGCTTCAATAGTTCAAACTTGTGGATGTGTATATATACGTAAATGTAAATGTGTTAGTCACTCAGGGTACTTGCGCTCATCGCACCAACTTTCAAACGTAAAGCTCGATTAATTTCCTTTCATGCTATATAGCTCATCTCTATCTACTATCTACTATTTACTATCTACGATTGCTATTGTGTTTGTATTACATATGTACATGAGTGTATAAATGTGTAAAATAAAATTTAACGTGAGGATGATCGAAACCATCGACAAATATTCAATGCGCATACTACTTCAACCATTTACAATTGATTAAAACTTAACAATCTAATTTAATTACAATTATTATTTCCCCTTGAGCAGTTAATCGATTAAAATATTTGTTATAGATAACAGGCGTAACTACGATTATTAAAAGGACTTAAGGTACAAATATTGACATTAATTATCCAGCAATAATTTCATTCAATATATTAATTCACTTATTTACAATATACATCCTTTTTGTTTATTATTGTTAAAATAATAATAATTAATATTATTATTGTTAACAATAATTAACTTGACATTTAAAAGGATTATCATTTTTACGGTTACATAAATAATTTAATTAATTAATTAAATTATTAAATATCTATTGAGATATAACTTATTTTACACATACAATTGTTCAATATTATGATACTTAATTGATTTATTTTACGAAGACTATTTGAACATAATTGTTTTTAAAAAAAAAAAGCTTAACAATTGCAATTAAGAAATAAACATAGAGTAAGTATGGTCTGGTATAAAAAATAATCAGATAGCTAACGTAAAATATAATGACCATTTTCGTTTTATCAACTCATATATACATGTATAAATTAATATAATAATAATTAAATATTAAGAAAAATGATTAAAAATAACCGCAAATAAATACATACTTAAATAATATCTGATTATTTTTTATTGACTGACAAAAAAACTATTATCTGATATCACGTGTGCACAAACATGCTGTGGAGTCTTTAAACATTAATCTTTTTTTATTATTATGTTTAACACATATAGAGATATTCTAATTGCTTCTATTTTATACACACTCTCGTAAGACACGCTCATTAAGTTTGTATGATAAATAATTATTATTACTGGTATTGTTATTAAATTTTTTTTTTTTGTGGAAAATATTACAATGGATGTGTTTTGTTTATTGTTAATTAAAAAAAATATTTTTATAAAATGGGCCCCATGTGTATTGGACTCGTTAATTCGACGAGCTTTATTAGAAACAATGGTAATAAAAGCTCAACGGGAGACTATTAAAGATTTTAATCAATATATACACACACATACATGCAGATGTGTATATATATTTGTAATAAGACGGTTAGATTTTAATTCCGTCTATATCCTCACCGATCAGTCTTTATTCGAAACACGTGATCATTGTAATCACATACTTGTGTTGCATTAATACAACGTGTTTCTGACAAGTGCACATAAATATACATTTATATAATAATAAATATGTATACGTAACGATTATTGATCATACCTATATAAATACATATAATAGTGTAATTAACGTGCACATAAAACTTATGAAGAAATATTGTAAAACTTAATTTGTGTTTCTAAATTCCATTCATATGATAATGACATTTAATTTTTTTTTTTTTTTAATTTTCCAACATAACGAGACAGAAACGCTAAAATACACACAATTGATTAAAATAATTTTTTTTTTTTTCTATAAATAATGTGTGACTAACTAGACATAATAATGTGCTCATAACTTTCTATCGACTTATTGGGATTTGGTAGATAAAAAATAATAGTTCATTGTTTGTTTACTTTGGTATGGAGTAAAAAAAATAATAATGAAATAGAAGAACGTTTGCGCCGTTAGAGATCGCAGGACGCCTATTACTGAGAAAATAAACAGATTGATAAATTTATTGTAATAATATATCGTCTTTGGGGCTGCGATCTGTGACTGATTTTGTTTCTCATCGCTTAATATTTATCTTTATCGATTTCATTTATTATTTATTCAATATTATAACTATTCAACCGGATAAGCGAATTAAATAACGAACATAATCGCTTCTTCCCGCATATTCCTCATTATTTTTTTTTTAATTTTTTGTTCATGTTATTTCCGCCTCTAATGATGCCGTTCTATTTTTTTTTTCTTTCATATAATTCTTTGTCTATTTATAATGAGTTTCAATGCAGTTTTTTTTGCTCTTATTACAATTAAATCCATAAAAAGCGGCTGTAATCGTAATGTAATCACCAGTAAGTGGTAGTTTGAGACATTAATTAATAAAATTGAATGTTGAAAGATTTTACATAATTATATGACGGTTTGAATTAAAGTAAAATCTTTACTAAAGATTTTTTTTAATATTTAAATTATATATCCAATAAAAATAAAGCACCAAACTCATAAGTTGAATATTTTAATTTAAATAACCGTGTAAATGCAATCAGGTACAGCGGTAGCGTTCTGATAATTTGATGTAACTGTATAAATAATAAAATAATAATTATTATTTTATGTATTTTTTTTTTTTTTTTTGCTGTTTGTTAAATCAAAGACTCGATGTGATTTTTTTCAGTAGGAATACTCAGCGGTAGTTAGCGACTATTATTGTAAAAGATAAATAAAATTATTCAACGACAATATTTTCGTGTTTGTCGTCTTCTTTATCTGGTTGATCTATCGACGTCCTATCGTGGTTAGTACAATTCCCGGATGTGCATGTACTTTCAGCTAACTCGAGCCATTTTTTTTTATTTTCCCTTACTCCTTCCATCAGAGGATTTAGTTTGTCAGAAAGCAATGCAAATGCCTGTAGAACAAAAAATAATAATCGATTATATTAAAATAAAATTAACATTAAAATTTATTTTAATGTACATATAATAAAATAATATTTATTTTACGACTTAATTTAATTTTATGCCGACATGTATTAACACGGTAAAAGGAATTTTTATTGATGCCATTTGCGTTACCTCGTAAATAGGAAGACATATGGAATCAATAAAACCGACTTGCATCAACGGTAACTGATCCTCCTTCTCACGATTCATGATATCCTGTAACAAAATATCATATTTTATATTATGTTATCTTAATTGTTTATAGAATTATTTAATTAATAAAAAATTTTGTACATTTAAAAGTATATATCAACATCATTAAAATACTAAATAATTTATTGTAAAAGGCAACTAATTTTTTTGAAACTGTTCTCTTGTTTTACAACTTTATTGAGTTTGTAAAATCATTATAGAAGTTATTAAACATCTAACTTTTTCACCGTTCATGAAGTGAAATTTAATTAATAAAATAAAAAATTTTCTAATAGTTATAAAAGCAATTTAATAAATTTAAATTGTTTATTCTGTTACGTACTTGAAATCAATTAACTTAACAGATCTCTTGTTTGCAAACAACTAATAAATTTGATTCAGAAATTCATTTAGATTGAAATTACTCAATTTCGATTTAAGAGCTTAATAGCTTTTATAAAAAATTTTAAACTAGAGATTTAAATTAAAATTTATTAGACTTCAAAAATATAATTACTTATAAAACACATTATTCAATTTAAAAATCTCATAATTTTTCGTAACGACTTTTATCTTTCGGATAAAGATTCGAAAAGTTTTATCGTCGTTAAAATTAATCTGATGACTTGGCACAATTTCTTATTTATCGTCAATCTTTTTAATTCCTGTACAAAAATCCCATTTACAGCGTTACTAAACTTACATAAACTTTAAGTATGTTTTATAGTTTTATAAAATATCTCAGTGCATTTAAAAAATTTTAAAAACACATAAATAACACAAGTAAAACATTTGTTAAAAAAAAAAAAAATACTAACGATTGGAGTGATGTTGAGTGTTCGTCGCTCAATGTCCCCTTGCTCGAAAAATTCGCTGCTGACTAGTTCCGCGACGCGTTTCTCTATTTCCCATGGCTTTGTTATTGCCGCAAGATCGCAGACAGTCATCAGCATCCCGCGCAGTAGCTCCCGGTGCTCGGTCAACGCCCAATTGTAGGTTTGACCGCGTGCGATGCTGAAAAATGCACCTCGTTTGCGAAAGTATACCGCCAAATCTGTGGAAAGAATTGCGTCTTCGAGGACTTTTACAATCCGTGAGTACTCATCGGGTGACACGTTTGACAGGATCTGGTTGCCAAGACTACTGAGGATCATCAAACACTGATCAAAGTGGTGGTGCTCCATTGTCGAGGTAGAGTAAAGTTGTGCCAACGGTGACGAGGCTCTGAAATGTTTTATTGTTTTATTAATAACTAGCAACCTTGCAATCACTATGTCACTGCCGTGACTTGTGAAGTATAAATAAGTAAAATTTTGCTTTATTAAATAATAACTTTTGTTAAATTGCACAGTACTTTCTTAAATATTAACGTTTTTAAAGATATAAGCTCATCCCGATGTTACTCTCATCAAGAGCTTTCATTTGAGTACTCACTTTCATTTTTGATATATTTTTCATATATACTAGATTGTGCCAAATAAATCGACTATTTTTTTTTTTCGGTCTTATATCAAAATTTCGTTGAGAGTGACGAAAAAAAAATTGTGTCAAAATTTGAGCCCTCTATCTTCATTTTTAAGTTAGCGCTCGCAAAAATAAGAATTTTCGCCAAAAAAAGTTTTTTTTCACTTATTTTTTGGTTATAGACAATTTAATATACCAAATATAAAAAAAACCTTTGGTATGGTTTTGTAGGAAATTAAATTCTCTACAAAGATGATTTTTTATCGAACTTAAAAAATCAACAGTTTTTTTTTATAGCTGATTAAATTACAATT